ACAACAGTCAATTGCCAAAAATAGCTTTTATGACAAAAACAAATTAAAGCTGCAGGAATTTACAGGTAAAGATCCCTTGAAGTCGAAACAAAACTACATTCCTACCTCTCTTCGGCCCAGGTTGTGGCCCAGGTGGCTTCACGCCTAAGAAAAACAAAAGATTATTGTTTCTTGAAACATAAAAACATGTTTTGAAAACCTCGACCTTTCTACACCACTACAGAAACGTCCAAGAGTTACGTTTATATCACATATACAACTGTGTTCTGCTTTCCACAATAAGACTTACCTTGACAGGCCTTTCGTTTAATGCTACGTACAACTCTATTCATTGTGCGGAACGATGCTGTGAATATGTGTCGACGAGACGATGCAATTCGAAGAAGCTGTCTCATGTTGTATTTACGCCCGATTCCAAAGCAAGTAATAATCACGCCCATTCTCTTTAGTGCGGCTGCAGGACCACCAACTCTGTCGTAAGACTTGCCATCCGTCATTACAATCAGTACCTTTCTTCGTCTATTTTTAGCAAACACATATCTTCTGATATAATTCAGAGCACGGCCGAGTTTCGTGCCACCTCGTGGATATCGAATACGGTTAATAGCTCTTAACACTTGTKTTTTAGTGCGGAACTGTCCAAAGGTGAATAGACGACGTGCTCTGCTTGAAAATATGGTGGCTGAAATACGGACATGTYTTGGAGAAATGTGGAAGGCTCGCACCATGTTCTTCACGAAGTTAAGACAACGTCTGAAGTTTCCTTTTCCGTAATGCTCAATGCTGCCAGATCCATCGATCAAGAATGCTAGGTCAATTTGAGCTCGACATACTATGTTAAAAACAAAAAACAGTGTTAATTTGAGAACGAGTATAACGCAGAGGSAATCTTTGCCGCACATATATRAACGGTATGATTTTACCTGGGCCAACTGGAGTAGGTGGAGGCGGCTTTGGACCTGCAATTATGATGTCTAAAGTCAGCATAGTAACATCGTAGCAATAAAACGAAAGAGWAATCTGCAAATTGCCCTTGAAATGGTGATAAGAAAAAGTAATATCTTGAAATGAATATAAGAATTAATTACATCTCTAAATGCTTTTACCTCTTCTAAAGCAACGCCTCTTCTTGCTCAAGATATCTCGACGAGTTAAAGCACGACCGTATACCTGCATACAAGAGATGCTTCCCTTGAAGTACCTT